ATCACTTCACAACAGTTGTCACCGAGGCCTAAAGGACGTGAAATAATTTCACCAATGATTTCAACAAAATAACTGCAGAAGTAAATGTCTCTACTCCGAGAAAATAGCTTTTATTAATAAAAGCAAGACAAAGACATTTTTAGATAAGCAGAGGCTGAGAGAGCTCTCCCAGGGCTCTCTCCCACTCAAGGAAATTCCACAAGGTTTTTTGTTTTTGTTTTTGTTGAGACAGAGTCTCGCTATGTCATCCTGGGTAGAGTGCTGTGGCGTCACAGCTCACAGCAACCTCCAACTCCTGGGCTTAAATTATTCTCTTCCCTCAGCCTCCCAAGTACCTGGGACCACAGGCGCCCACCACAACACCCAGCCTCGGTGCATGTGGTGGGCACCCTAACCACTGTGCTATAGTGGTTCTCATACTTTTTATAGAAATTTTAATTGACACTTTCAAATCAAGTTTATTCCTAAATAACTGACTCTGGTTTATCAATGTCCTATTGGCTCTGAAGGAATTTCATTTTTACAGCATGTCATTCAGCAGTGTGTATAACTTATTAAGTAAAAAATAAAACTGTTAACAAATAAAAAAGTTTTGTTCTTATGGTCCATGCAGGAAATGTCAGTGACCGGGAGGCTACAGGCGCCGAGTCCCACAGCGTGTTTCATGGGCTGAAATAAAGTCCCTACATGGAGGTTCAGAGACGCAGCAGAGGACAACGGGCAGGGACATTCCAGCCGTGCCCTGAGAGTTAGTGGGGTCTTTTTTTCTGGCTAGAACCAAAGATCCGTGGAGGAAAGCCGGAGGGTAGGAGGCCGACAGATACGTGAACCCAGGTCATCCAGGTCCTCAGTGCCAGGCAGGAGGAAGAGCAAGAGGGACAGATCCAGAGAAATATGCAAGTGAAGAAAATGGAAAAGGACAGTCGTCAAGGATGGAGATGTTACAGTGGAGGTGGCGGGCCATGTTGTTAAATATGGCTCAGTCCCGGCCAACAGCAAGTAAACAAATGCCAGTGGATTTGGAATTCAAGAGATCGCTGGAAACTGGAGAAGGTGATCTTCAGGAAGCCGTGGGCCTGAGCTCTGATGGCAAAGGCCTCACAAGGAACAGTAGAGGGAGCAGAAGCTGTAGGTGCTGCCATCGGAAGTCCAGCAGAGACCCGGCTCTACCCCCAGAGAACTCTGTGTTGCCCCCGCCAAGCCTGCCTCTTCCCTAGTCCTCCTCAGCTGGTAAATGGCCTTTCTACCCAGCAGCTTAAAGCAGAAATATGGGAGTAACCACTGAGTGATCTCTTCCCTTCGTCCCCCCGGCTCTAACTATCAGAAATTCCCATTGCATCCAGTCCCACATGTAGTCTATGTCTGACTATCCCTGTGGCTCCTGCCTTAGTCCAAGTCCAAGGCCACCAGTTTCTCTTCCTTGACCCACTGCAGTGGCCTCTGATGAACAGCAGTGAAGGAATGCTTCCCTTCTTGTTCCCTGGAATGATTTGTTAGGGAAAAACAAAATCAGACCCTGTCACTTCCCTGATCTCTGCCTGTGACGCCCTGGGTGACCGTGCTCTGGTTTGGCATCTCTCACCTCCACCACTTCCCCCAGCTGGTGCTTCACTGCCCTCTCCCTGGGGCCTCCACATGACACTTATCTCTGTCTCACAGCCTTTGCCCCAAAAGCCTCTTCCTCCAGGTCTTGCAAAGCTGGGTCCTTCCCATCATTCCATTTCCAATGACCTCCTGGAACAGATCTGACCAGCCAATGCTGGTCACTTGAGTTGTTCCATGTCGCTGCTGCATTTTACTTAAAGCACTGACTGTCTCTCTTGTTTGTTGTCCACGCACTCCCCCCACCAAAACTGGGGTGTCAATTTTCCAAAACTCCAAAGACCCTTCCTGGACCCTGTCTTCACACTCAAAGATAAGCAGTGTAGGGAAACAAAATCGCCAGGCAACACTGCAGTGCCGTGGAAGGAGATGGCATGAACTTGGTGCTTTCCTGGACTTTCTCCAGCTACTCCTGACAGCTTGGCAGGCGTATAGAACGGAAGTCAACAGAGACGACTTGAACTTGGATAGAGCCAAATGACAAAGGATTATGGCATCACCGAATGGCCTAGAAAGCAGATTGGAATGGCGGATCCACCTGGGCCCCTCAGAGGGGATCAATGGAGGGGGTGGATTCACACACAGGGACCAAGGACCTAAAGTCCATTACAGCAGGGAATCCAGTCCCACAGGCACAAGGGAAGGATGTCGCCACAGGTAGAATGCTGAGTGGCCTGAAGTCACCCATCAGCCCCTCCAGGCAGCTATCTCAGCAGAGGCAAGAGCAGCTCTTCTGCTGGGTATCTCGACCCTTCTGCAATCCTCATCTTGGCTAAAGATGTCAGAGACTAGACACTGAATGCTCAGGGAGCAGATAATATCGAGGAAATGTAATTTTTAAGGGCCTTCAAATTCTCCCTTCTTTCCTCTAGCTAAGGATGTCCCCCCCCCCCTTCTCCTTTAACGGGGTTATCAGCGCTCACGAGGGAACGGAAGAACAGGCTAGGAACAGCAAGCAGGCACTAAATCCCAGTCTGGACTCAACGACAAAGGAATAATAAAAAGATTAGAGGTAATTTTTCCTCCTGAATTATAGAGAAGCGGTATGGATTCAGCTCAGCTGTTGAAGGGATGGGGGCAGGCTACCCACCTCTCCTCTCAGGAGTATTACTCAGGAAAAGGGGAGAGACTAGAGGACCTCCAGTTGGGATTGCAAATAAAAATACGGGATGCCCAGGTGCACCTGAATTTCAGATAAATAACAAATAATTAGTATTTGGTGTACGTGTATGCTCCCATGCAGTATTAGTATACTTACACTAAAAAATTATTCCTTATTTACCTAAAACTCAGATGTACTCGGGTAGCCTGCATGTCATCTGACAGTCTGGTCTCCAGTGACACGTTGGATGGGAGGACACCAGCGCTGAATTGAGCCATTACACACTTGAACACTTTGGCTGTGCCGGGAGACAAAATGTCTTGGGGTCATTCTGAATGTGAATGATGGCGGAGATAAATGTCCTTATGCTTACAGTTTAAAGACAAAAGAATTCAGTAACAGTTGTATATGTGTATGTTACATAAAACATGCATATTATGAAATACGTACACACATGTAAGCATAGTTATGTGATACATAATTATATAACTCATTTGTAACATAGCCACACTAGGATGTGCTTTATAGCCAAGTTACGAATCGCTTTGTGGTTTTACCCAATAAAAAGAAAACAAAAGTGCAGAGTGTGGGTGAAAGTGGCGAGGTTCTGGCAGTTGCTCTGGCATGAGCTGGTGGGGGTGTATTTTTAACTACCAGTTTCCATTATTTTGCCCATCACAGATGAGGGTGTTTGCAGGGGCGACAGGAGCAAGCCAATCTCTGGAGTGAATATAGTCCCCGGGCCTGTGGTGTGTCCAGGTTAGTTTTCATTTATCACAGCCTCTTTCCCAGCAGCCATAATATAAAATCTCGTGGGCCCAAGAGAGGACAGACACAGCGCATCCCTGAGTCACTATTTATTTTGTTTGAGTGGTGATAAAAACCAGGTCATTCTCAATCATGGAAACACAGACCAGGGCGTACTGAAACATATGTTATGTTCCATTTATATAATTCCTAGAGGCTGTGTTTTCCAAAGCAGAGGAGGGATGGCAAAGAACTTCTCTACCCAAGTAAGCGTTATGGCCCAATTAATGTCTACAAACCTAGGGAAAAAAGAAATGTCTCCACATCGTGGTTTCTCCCCCCAGCCTCTCTGTATGAAATTCTTAAAGACCAGCCAATGTCAGCATGCAGTTTAGCTCTAATCACAGCTCTGCAAAGGAGAAAAAAGAAAAGCTCATAAAAATTCCTGCCAGAGCTGATGGACCATGGAGGCTGTTGAGGGGAAGCCTCGCACAACTAAAGAAATAGCCCTTAATTTACAACCTGCCTGACAGTTCCAGACTGATTCAACACTCCTCCGCACACCTAAGTGTCTCATGCCAAAAGATCTGAGGAGGACAGGGCAACTTGGAAGGGACATTCGCCGGCCCAGATGGTGCACATCTGGCTAAAAATTACAAAGAGAATGAAATCAACTTCTCAAACCCGCAGACAGGTGTTTGGGGCTTCCCAGGAGACCTGCTTATGAAGGGCAACAGGGATGTTTCTGGACTGATGGTCAGTAAAGGAACAGCAAAGGTTCCTGAGAATTGCCACAGGGCAGGAAGTACCAAACAGGTGGCAACAGTATGGGCCGCTGCCCATCTTCTCTTGACAATGGCATCATTTCAAAGACATTTGAATTATTTAGGTTATTGTAACCAAGACATCTTTAATAATGCACCGAACAGCAGGCACCAGGTTGAAATCAATTAGACTCCACCGCTAAATTATAAGGGAGAAATTTACAGGAGAATGGCTCCGGGGTAGCACCGTAGGTACACGCGCCTGCCAGAGACAATTATATTAGGGTCCTAATGAGTGAGTATTGCCTCGTTGTTTCGGCAGTAGAAAAGATGGCCAGGTGCTCCTAAATTTAGGGCAATAATAAACAAATGAGAGGCGGAGGCCCCTTCTCTGGGCGGGAAGGCTTCTGGGTGGCCAACAGCAAAGACAATGGCGGTAGCAACAAAGCTCATTTTGGAGGTTTTCTGTGCGAAAAGAAGCCAGCAAGTGGGGCCACGAAGACCCTCCCAAAGGCACGGGTTCTCGCAGCCCGGGTAGGGACGTCAAGCATCTGCATGCGCCCTGCACTGGGGGACACCGAGCGCTTCTTCCCCGAATATGACTTTAAAGTTTACCTTCCTAGTTCAGGAAGAGCTCCAGGGAGGCCGGGTTGGAGCTGGCCCGGGTGAGCAGCCTGGCTGCGGGCCGCCCGTGGGCAGCACGTGGAGGACGGCTCGTGGCCACCGCCCGGGCCCCCCCGGCGCCGCTTGCCGCCCTCAGCCGCGCGGGGGCGCACAACGCAGACGCGCTTCTGCCGGGCGCGGGCGGCTCCGGACCGCCAGGGGCCGCTGTGGCACAGCCGGGCAGGCCCGCGCCGTCCAGCCGCGTATCTCTGGGCCCTCTTGGGCACGGCCTTGCCGGTTTGGCGGGGTGAAAGGTTGCGAAGATGGCGACGGCCTTGAACGAGGAGGAGCTGGACAATGAAGACTATTACTCGTTGCTGAACGTGCGCAGGGAGGTGAGGCCTTCGGCGGGACTCTGTTGGGGTCGAGTCCAGGCCCGGTCGTTCGGAAGGGCCGGGTTGGCGGCGACCGCCCCTCCCCCGCCACAGTGGCCCCGGCCGGGTGGAGAGGCCGCGTGACCCCGCCGACGTGCGTGCCCGCTGGCCGACACAGTCAGCCCCACCGCCCCTACCATCCCGCCAGGGGTGCCGGGGTCTGTCTCTGCCCCTGTTCTCCGCGGCCGCTGCGCCTCGTGCGCTGTGTCCATGCAGGGCCAGAGGTCCCCACACCACACGAGGAAATATAGGGGCTCCAAGGAGGCTACCCGAGTGTGGTTCTCAGTCCCCTAGGACCCGGTACCGCGCTCAGCTCACTGCCCGCCCTGGCTCAGAGCCTGTGTCATCGCCCCCGACCAGCACGATGGCAAACCAGGCACCAAGGTCACAGGCATCAGGGAATTTCTCCAAGGCTCTGTCCATTCCCTGAGCTTTTCGTGGGGATGTCCTGCCTCTGAAGTGAGTCTGTCCTTAGAGGCACGCGTCTTCTTCATTCTCCTGAGTTACTGCCCAGAAATTCAAGGCAGAGTCTTCTAGACATACAGCCTCGACTCGGAAGCCGCAGAGTAGGAAGAAGTCTTAGGCCAGGAAAGAAATGGTACTCTCACATGGCTTCAGCATTCATACCAAGTGCTCGTACCTTGTCTCCTCACCAAATAAAGATAATGCGCGAGAGTCTCAACATAGTCTGGTACACAGTAGGGCCCCAGGACATTTCCTTTCTTGATGACTAGTCCGGAGCGGAGATCGGTGTGAAGGGCAGGACAGGCTTCCAAGGTCAGGTCATAAAGTGAATTGTTTGTCTCTAAGCTGCTGGGTCCAGACTTTTCAGCCCTGTCAGTGAATCCCTAATTCCGTCTGTCAGGTTTTCTAGTGGTCATCAAAGCTAGCCAACTTTGGCTATCCTAAGCAAACCTGGTCCAGGGTATGTTGTTAATAAATATTGGTTTGGGTGGTGTTTTCATAGAAGCTGCCATTCTTTTGAGTGCTTATTTTGTGCAGAGCCACTGTGCTGAATGAACTCTTTATGTTCACAGCCCATAAGGTAGGTGTGATAATCCTCGTTTTATAGTTGAAGAAACTGAGGTATACAGAGATTAATTAACTTGTCTAAAGTCACACTACCACAGAGTCCAAAAGCCTGAACCCTGGGCAGCCTCACTCTGGAGCCCCAGCTCTTGAGCTTCATGCTAATCTGCTTCCTTACCAGACCTCAGGCTGCAAAGCTGCTGGTCTGCTACTGTGTCCTTGGGCACCCTACATAAGAATCATTCAAATGTATGAGCCGTTATACTACAAAAATGTCCTGTGAAATATTTTGGGGAATTGGAGAAGTTGTTAGGCTGCAATAGGACACCTGGGAGATCTGGATTTCTGTAACTAATCAACCATGAGGGTTTAGGCAAATCAGTTCTTTAGCCTTCAGTCAGTTTCTTTCCTTTTGAATGAAGATGTCTGGCTCTTTGGTTATTTATTTTTCTAGAGACAGGTTCTTGCTCTGTTGCCCAGGCTAGAGAGCAGTAGCTCAATTATAGCTCACTGCAGCCTCAAACTCCTGGATTCAAGTGATCATCCCACCTCAGCCTCCTGCATAGTTGTGCCTATAGGCAAGTGCCACCACATCCAGCTAATTTTGTTTCTAAGTTTTTTTTTTTTTTTAAAGACAAGGTGTTACTTTATTGCCTAGGTTAGTCTAAAACTCCTGTTCTCAAACAGTTCTCCTGCCTTGGCCTCCCAAAGTGCTGGGATTATAAGTGTGTGCCATCATTCCCAGGCTAGCTAATTATTCTTTTTTTCCTAGATCCTAGAAGCCAGACAATAAAGCTGGTCTTTCTGAAATCTGGGTCTCGGTAATCAGGAATTGAGTAGCCATTTACCAGGCTTACTGGACCTTATGCAGCTACAGATTAAAAGATTTAAAATGATAGGCATAGCCATAGTTGGAGGTAAACATTTGTTAAAGGTATACCTTGAAATTGCTTGAATTTTAGGCCCTGTTATTTCTCTTGGACTTGTAGATGGAAGTCAAAGAAATGCTTCTTTAAAAATTTTTTACTTCTGGGCGGCGCCTTCGGCTCAAAGGAGCAGGGCACCAGCCCCATATTCCGGAAGTAGTGGGTTCAAACCTGGCCCCAGCCAAAAACTACAAAAAAAAAAAAAAAAAAAAAACTTTTTTTACTTATCCCAGTAAGTCAAGGCACTTCTCACATTGAAGGTTATTGGTTAAACATACCTCCCTGCCTTTGTCAACACAAAGCGACTCTGTTAAATTCATCATCGGGGTGATGTGCTGATCTTCTGTCCCAGGATTCCACTGGAAGTTCTGAAAGTGATTGATGTCTCGACTTGATATTTATTGGAAACCTTTGGTGTATAAGATCAAATCTGAAGTTGAAATAACATGATTTAGTTGGAGAAAAAAATAACAGTCATCATGGCTCTCACATGTGTGGTTGGAAGAATACATTAATATCTGTTTACGTGTTTGTTGGCAGTTCTAGAGCTAACTTCCATGTAACTATAACTGTAAGAAGCAAGGTCCTCTTCCCACCAGTACTTCAAAGGACCTTCGAAAGAACTCTCTATGTTCAGTAAAGTTCAGAAACTTTTCCTTAAATATCTCCAATGGAGGCTGGGCCTGGCGGCTCATGCCTACCATCCTAGTGCTTTGGGAAAAAGTAAGATCACTTGAGACTGGCCTGGACAACATAGTGAGACCCCCAACTCTTAAAAAAAGTTAGCTGGGCATGGTGGTGTGCAGCTATAGTCCTAGATACTTGGGAGGCTCAGAATAGCTTAAGGCCAGGAGTTTGAGGTTACAGTGAGTTATGATGGGGCCCCTGCACTCGAGCCTGGGCACCAGAGCGAGATCCAGTCTCGAATAAAAAAAATCTGAAATGCGAGCTACTTGAGATAAAACAAAGGAATTCTGTTTTTAAATTATAAGCATAATAGGATTATACAATCAGAGTAATATAGAAATGTCAAAGTCACCTTAAGAATCTCCTTCCTCAGATTTTAAACTTTAAAATATCTCCTTAAATTTGTATTCTAGAAAGTGAAGCAGGTAGCTAGACAGAACCACTAAATTCTGCTGTAAATAAAATTCATGATCCTTAATGATTTCCTTTCTCTAGTCTTCAGATTTCTTGTTTGCAGAGTGGAGCGGTCATCTGCCTTACCTGCTTCACGTTGAGGGGAGGGAGTAATTTGTCATTATCTAGTTTGGTGGTGTTAGGTACATGATGTGGTGCCTAAAATCTACCTCATTGGAGATTTCCAGGATGACTTTCCAAAATTTACTTGGAGAAAGGATTCCTTCACATAATCAGAGATAGAGTTCCCTGATTCTGATACTTTTTTTTAAATATTATTTTTTATTTTTATTTTATTTTATTTTTGAGACAGAGTCTTACTATGTTGCCCTCATTAGAGGGCCGTGACAGCTCAGAGCAGCCTCAAATTCTTGGGCTTAAATAATTCCCCTGCCTCAACCTCCTAGGTAGCTATAACTACAAGCACCCACCACAACACCCAGCTATTTTTTGTTGCAGTTGTTGTTTAGCTGGCCTGGTCTAAACAGCCTCTGTGTATGTGGCTGGGGCAGTAACCACTGCGCTATGGGAGCCGGAGCCCTGATTCTCATATTTTTTATAGAAATTTTAATTGACACTTTCAAACCAAGTTTATTCCTAAATAATTGACTCTGATTGCTGGTTTACCAATGTCCTGTTGGCTCTGAAACAATTTCATTTTTACAGCATGTCATTCAGCAGTGTTTATAACCTATTAAGTAAAAAATGAAACTGTTAACATAAAATAGTTTTTGTTCTTATGGTCCATGTAGGAATGTCAGTGACCTGAAGTCTTCATCCTTCAAGAACAGCCGTGAAACTATGAGTGCAAAAGCATCACCTGCCAGTCAGAAGTCTCCCCCAGTCCCTGCATTTTTATTCCTTAACCTGGTTAGTGTAGAGTACATTGTTCTTTTCATAGTTTTTAGTTGTCTGTGTTTCTCTGGCTGCAGGCTACAGCCAGACAACGAGGCTAAACATTTGAGTTTGGACTGCATTTAGGAAGGAAGGGGTAAAACAGTAGAGGATGGTCCGCAGGTCACACTCAGGATTGACCTGGGGTCAAAGTCACCCACAAAGGAGGAGGCAGCCGGCCCCGCCCCCAAACCAGGACGACTAAGCTATCTACCAAAATTGAGTGGTAAGAGGTCCAGCCGAGCCAGGGCACACTCACAGCCCTAAAGCTGTGAGTCGTGTGTCTGTTCATTGCTTTGCTTATCTACTCTCATAGTGGGCAGTTAATTTAGTCTAAATGAGAAAAATAAAGGTGAGTCTGAGAAGGTCGGTTCCTTAAGTGAGTTGCCCATTAGCTACACTGTATTTAAAGTTTGATATTCCTAGTAGTGACCCCAGTTAGATGCATCCCTTGGGTAAGCCTTGGTTAGGCCTTATCCAGATGACCACATTCCTACGGTGTCCTGTGAGCCAAAAAGCTGAGGAACAGGAATTTCTGGCCCATGCTGCCACCACTTGGGCGATCTTGCACAAGTCCTTTAACCTCTCAGAGCCTCAGTTTACTTACCTGCCAACAGTACTTGGAAGATACCGAGAGGATGGAGAGAGGCCACTTAGGGCTTTGCAACAAGAATCTTGTATCAAATCCTGTTTTTTACTCTTCTAGGAGTCTTATGTCTCTCAACTAGTAGTTTAACCTTTCTGCTCACTTTCTGTAATGGGGAAATGTGGGTAACAGGTAACAATGCCTTAAGCACTTATCTTCAGCCAGCATGAGGCTTGCTGTGTGTGAGGATATACATATATCAAGTGCCTGGTGTGAGTGAGTGTTCTGATAATACTGAGTGTTATTTCTTGGATTTTGATAAGTATGAGGTTCTGCTTATTTTAAAAAGACATACATGTGCATAGAAAGCCTTGATGTGCTTCATC